GCCTTCGGGAGTTCAACTTAAAAAAAAAAATAAAACACAGTGACTCAAAGCGCCATTTTCCGAATGCCAGACTTCACCGGGTGGGTTCCGAGGTACCTTTTTTTTTGGAGGGAATAAGAACGCTGGATTTTCATAATGGATGCGCACTCAGAACTTGATCTGGAATAAGAGTGGACGAACAACCATAATTTTCGGCTGGAGTTTACAGCCGCTGAACACGGAGAAGAAGAAGAAGAAGAAGAAGAAGAAGAAGAAGAAGAAGAAGAAGAAGAAGAAGAAGAAGAAGAAGAAGAAGAAGAAGAAGAAGAAGAACAAGAAGAAGAACAAGAATAAGAACAAGAACAAGAAGAACAAGAGCAAGAACGAGAAGAACAAGAAGATACTAAACTGCCCATAACCCTATCTCTTGGTTTTTCTCTGCCTCTGCTCATCATCAACTTTTTCATTACATGAGGCACTCTAGTTTTTCCCGTCTGACGTTGTAACCAAAGAACGCAGTCTTCTTTTGCTTCTGTTCGTTTATCAGACTGACCTAATTGCGTTGTTCTTGTTTGCAGCAAAGCTGCGATGTTTGCGCCTTTCGGGCGACACATCGAACTTATGGAGGCATTTTTTTTCACCGCGTTAGCCTTCCCGGTAATATACAGCAACATCTTGTTGAACCCAGCAGGAAAGTGCTATTAATAATTATCCCTGTCTACATCTACACCTTAATATTTGCTGCGGGAGACAGAGCTTCTATGGGTATGCCCGATGTGCTATGATGACGATTCTTAAATAAGTAATTGTTTCCCGTTAGCACACATTTGTTTTACACGAACTCGATTTTCGGTTCCTTGGAATTCATGTAAAGGAAATGTTACTGTAGACGTCTGAATCAGTTCTGTTTTTGAGTTGAAGACTTCATCCTAATATACTCATGGCGCTCTCAACATTTTTCTTTAGAACGACATCACTGCAGCTTCTACATAATTCTTCATTACTGGATCGACTGTCCGTGACATTAACAACGTACATGTAATGAACAATTTCAGGTGTGCAGACATATTTTCACCAGCAGGCGCCATCACGAAGAGCCATGAAATATGACCCAAGGTCACGTCTGCTAACGAGGTGACTATTGATTTCACACTAAATCTTGTCGTGTTAGTCCCTCGACCCGGAAGTTAAACTTTGACCTTACATAATGATTTACTAGAATATAGAACAAGAAATGTTAGACACTGTTTGTCAAATTAATCTCTTTAGACAACCTGTATGCTATACTGATTGATGTCAATTAGTAGTCAGGTAAATTAGAAAAGATCATATGAGAAGCAAAGAAATTACAAGAACAGCTATAATTAAATTCATCGACAAAGCAAATACTGAAATGGTTTGGCCATGTAAAAAGAGTAAATACAATGTCACTAGCAACGAGAGCGGACAGTATGGAAGTAGAAACATAAAGGGGTATGGATCAACCAAGAAGAAGATGGATTGAAGAAGTCACTGATACTTTGAGATTCCACATTAAAACATATCGGGTCCACCGAGCATGCCCCAGCTCAGATACTTCTTCTTCTTCTCCTTCTTCTGCCTTTCTAATCCCCGATGGAGCATAGGCCCTCAACCAACTTATGCCACGTCGTTCTATCCTTTGCCAATAAGCGTGGTGTTTACCACATCACCCACCAAGTGCCGAACGGTCTATAAAGTATAGGTCTAGTTCTACGCTTTGTAGTGCCGGGTTCGATCCCAGCTGCGGGATATGCCCCTGGCGTTGGTTTCGACAGCAGTACCAGGGGGCCGACCATACAGAAAGCAATAGCAAACTACTGGACGTACATCTGCCTAGAAAAACCACACAACAGCCAGGGGCTGCCGGGGTTGGTTCTGCAACGTCCTGTAAAGGATACGCAACTAATCTAGTTCTATATGCCCTATACGCCTAAAGGCGCGGAAAAGTGTCCTTAACTTTACCAATATAACTACCACTACTAACAGCTGTTACTACTGTTGTTGCTACTGCTGCTGCTGCTACTACTACTATTGTTGCTACTGCTGCTGCTGCTACTACTACTACTATTGTTGCTACTGCTGCTGCTGCTACTACTACTACTATTACTAATTGTTTATTGTGATCGATTTTGTAAAGCTAACATAAACTAATTGTTGTTTCTTACCAACTTTTTCTCTTCCCTATAATTTTCTACTCCTTATAAAAAAAAATACTATTACTAATGCTATACTACTGCTGCGGCTGCTACTACTACTGCTGATACTACTTCTGCTACTACTTACTACTACACGAACTGCTACTAGTAGTACTACTACAACTTGTTACCTGTACCACCCCCACTACTGCTAGACTACTGATGCTACTGCTGTTACTGTTACTGCTAGATTTGGATTTGGGAAGGGCGGAGGGCGGGGGGAGGGAGAGAGTAACCAGTACTGGTAAACAATATTTAACTAGTGAATTTAAAAAGTAGCTATTTCTGTCCTTAGGCAAAGCGGACTAGGAGATATCAACACAAAAATATACTAGGCTTTTTTCCTCTCCCCGTTTCTTTTATTTGCCCTGGGTTGACTAAAGTATACGTACGATTGTCAATATTGTAAAAAAAAAAAAAAACCTTATAGAACATAATTATAAATATGGGCTTATTGCCCATAATCATGTCTATCCGTTTGTTGCCCTTAGGACAAGGAAATGTTTGCAGGTATGAATGGGTGTTTAAAAAAATTAGTCCACCTGCCTGACGCATCAGTAGCTTGAATCCCTGGCAATGTTGGTAGACTACGTGTTGGGATTAGGCTCATCTCAAGTGCTGATGTCAAGGGCTGTGTGACGGACATACGCGTTCTGTGCGGATGTTGTGATGGCTGTCAACTATGTTGAATTGTGATTTCTCTCACAACAAAGCATGCTGGCTGCAGATCGCATCCAATCACTTTTAGGTAATGTTGTTACTGTTTCAATGCCGTTACTATTTCCAATGTTGTTACTGTTTCCAATGTTGTTACTGTTTCCCATGTTGTTACTGTTTCAATGCCGTTACTGTTTCCAGTGCTGTTACTATTTCCAATGCTGTTACTGTTTTTAGTGCTGTTACTTTATCCAACGCTGTTACTGTTTCAATTGCTGTTACTGTTCCAATGCTGTTACTATTTTTAACGCTGTTACTATTTCCAATACTCAACATAATCAGTAAACACTTTGTAGATTCAGATGGACAAATTTAACAGGACTTGACACCAACATTCAACACTTCCACACTACAAGGACTTACATGGATATTCCTTGCGGGACATCCACGGGTGCGAGGAAACGAGCGAGAGGATTTCTTGTTGGCTACAAAAGGTGAAACTATAGGAACACTGAAAGTAGATAATGAGGGCTTCGGAAGACTAAATAAGCAAGAAGCCTGATGGAAGGCACAATGTTGAACGCTGTAAAGCTGCTTAAATTTGGAGTTCCGTGTGAATCCAGCAAGAAAGGAAACATCAGAGAAAGAGTTCTACTAGGAAAATCATAGATATTTGCTACATGAGACTGAGCACCGATGAATATGTCTGGTGTGTTGTGATGTCGACTAAGCACCGATAAGTAGTGTCTGGTGTGTTGTGATGTCGACTGAGCACCGATGAGTAGTGTCTGGTGTGTTGTGATGTCGACTGAGCACCGATGAGTAGTGTCTGGTATGTTGTGATGTCGATTCTTAAACTAGTCATCAGTAAACTACTTTCAAGAACGCTACTTCTGTCACGATCCAGCAGAAAGTCCATCGATCCCCTGCCAATTCCTCAGCCTCGTGTGCCCAGTGTGTCGCTTAAGTTCTTGTGCTCACCGTCCTACAATTCTACCCTACCCCTGCTGCCAGCAACCACGCCTTATATTAAATTCTTCTTCTTCTTCTTCTTGTTCTTGTTCTTGTTCTTGTTCTTGTTCTTGTTCTTCTTCTTCTTCTTCTTCTTCTTCTTCTTCTTCTTCTTCTTCTTCTTCTTCTTCTTCTTTTTCTTCTTCTTCTTCTTTTTTCTTCTTCTTCTTCTTCTTCTTCTTCTTCTTCTTCTTCTTCTTCTTCTTCTTCTTCTTCTTCTTCTTCTTCTTCTTCTTCTTCTTCTTCTTTTTCTTCTTCTTCTTCTTCTTCTTCTTCTTCTTCTTCTTCTTCTTCTTCTTCTTCTTCTTCTTCTTCTTCTTCTTCTTCTTCTTCTTCTTCTTCTTCTTCTTCTTCTTCGAGTTCACCAGCGGTAAACTCCAGCGGAAAGTTTTGGTTGTTCGTCCACTTCTGGACTGCAGTCCTGTTCCAGAACCTGAGTGTTACGTGTGCATCCGTTTTACAGATCTGACTCATTTGCTTGCAGACTGCTGGTTTCTTGCTTCTCAGGCAGACGCACTCCGACTTTTAAATTGTAAACAACTGCTTGCAGTTTTTCAATTTCCAAGACGAGAGCAGGTGTGAGCTATATTTATCAGTGGTAAAATCTTGTCGAATGTCACTATTTTTATTTTTATTGACTCATGTTATTCTAAAAACTTGTCTCAAAATGAAAAGTTGTTTTAAAAATCGAATTTTTATGTTAGTGATGAAGAAATGGTTCAACAAATTCTCCATCGTCAAAGTAAATATGCATCTGATTAAAATTATAACTTTCATTTGTTTACTGATATGTATGTATGTAATTTGTACCCCACCTGGACATTACACAAGGCGATAAACATCCGGTGACACAAAGCCCCACCATGCGGATGAGGATCACCCGTGGAGAGCACCCCGAAACCCCGTTTAGCCGTTAGGCCATATTTATCGACCGGCTTTTTTCAGGGCCCCTGGTAAAAGCCAGGGTGTGGCTTCAGATAACGAAAAATTGCACTCCACATGGGGACGACTATAGGTATTGTTACGATATTAGCAACAAGGACTCGTAACTGTTTTCTTAAGCATTTAAATGGCACAATTTCCACGTTGTTTTGTGTGCGTGTTTTGGAGTCTTGTAATTTCAGTTTGTGTTTCCAGTCCGAGTTTTTGTTGTTCTGCTGCTGCTGCTGCTGTTCGGAGGTCACGTCAGGGGTCAAGCGAGAAATGACACGGGTCAAGGCCGCGTTGAGTGCCAGCAAGTCTTGATGAAGGAAGTCTACACATGTGTGTCCGGACAAGGCATCGACTTCAACGCCTTCTTGGAGATGGTCAGTGGTGGCAAAGACACCCAGAATGGAACAAACCCAGCAGCAGCATCACCTCCAGCTACAACAGCATCGACAACGGGCGAGGCGAACTTGTCCAAAGAGAAGATTTGTAGGTGGGTCTTAAATTACAGATTTGTTTTCTTCAGTTTCATAGTTATGGGATGATGACACGAACTACACACAAAAGAGTTAAATGGGAGTGGACCGCTAGACAAACCAAGAGGTGATGGAGAGTTAATTTAGCACACGGGCCTTCTTGGAGATGGTCAGTGGTGGCAAAGACACCCAGAATGGAACAAACCCAGCAGCAGCATCACCTCCAGCTACAACAGCATCGACAACGGGCGAGGCGAACTTGTCCAAAGAGAAGATTTGTAGGTGGGTCTTAAATTACAGATTTGTTTTCTTCAGTTTCATAGTTATGGGATGATGACACGAACTACACACAAAAGAGTTAAATGGGAGTGGACCGCTAGACAAACCAAGAGGTGATGGAGAGTTAATTTAGCACACGGGCAAACATTTGCAGTCACCAACTGGAAAGAGCAAGCTAATCACAGAGTTGAATGCAGTTCGGTAATATCTGTAGCACTGAACCTGAAAAATTCGTAGTAGTAGTAGTAGTAGTAGTAGTAGTAGTAGTAGTAGTAGTAGTAGTAGTAGTAGTAGTAGTAGTAGTAGTAGAAGAAGGAGAAGAAGAAGAAGAAGAAGATGCAGAAGAAGTAGAAGAAGATGCAGAAGAAGTAAAAGAAAAAGTGGAGGAGGGGGAGAAGAAGACGATGAAGAAAAAGAAGAAGAAGAAGAAGAAGAAGAAGAAGAAGAAGAAGAAGAAGAAGAAGAAGAAGAAGAAGAAGAAGAAAAAGAAGAAGAAGAAGAAGAAGAAGAAGAAGAAGAAGAAGAAGCAGGAGAAGTTTTGTGATACAATGGATTATATAATATCTTAATAGATATTACTGTAGGGTGCAAAATGGTAAAATGTGTATACCACACAGCGTTGCGAGGTTAGGGTGACTTGATCTTCTCCCGTTTTCACTTTTTAGGAAAGAACAGTATTAAGCACTATAAATTATTATTAAGCGTTAGCTCTGTGTGTATAAACTAGTGTGTAGTTTGTTGATGAGACAGCGGGGCCGCATTAGCGCAGTCGATAGGAGACTCGCTTTTAAATCCAGCTGTGACTCGCTGCAGCCCGCGGCCGGTGTTCGAAACCGGACGGTTCCCGGAGTTCACCCAGCCTCTAGGAAATGGGTACCAGAGTTAACACTCTAGGCTAAATGGAGGAACGTCGCTGTAGCTACGGAGTTTCGTGCAGGCGGCTACACAGGCGGACTGTTTCTTCTCAGCTGTCCGTACTGGTGGCAGAGCACTTATGATTTATAACCATGTGCAATGAATGACGCTGGTTTACAGCTCCCGACTTTTTAACAGTCTTTATCAAGCCGGTCTCTTTGTATTAAAGAATACTTCATGGTGCCAAGAACGAGAAGAAAGTTTTGTTTGTTCCGTTGCTTTGCTTAAATAGCCCCCCCCCCCTTCCCCCCCCCCCAAAAAAAAAACCTTACGTTGGATTGGCTTTCTACCCCACCAGGACATCACACAAGCGATAAACACCCGATGACACAAAGTGCCACCATGCGGATGAGGATCACCGTGGAGAGGTCCCAGAAACCGCGTTCAGACATTTGGCCATAATGATGACCTGCCTATATTGCGGCCCCTGGCAAAAGCCAGAGTGGGGCTTCAAATAACAAAAAATAACGTCCTAAGAAGGACGTAACGAATGTAACTTTACGTTTAACTAGCATTTCCGAAAGGGGGACGTTTAGGTTATAATCGTGACTAATTTGTCTGCGCCATATAAATAGCTTACATTGTACGCACCAAGAGCCCTGTAAAGAACTCTTGCAGTGTGCATGCGATCAAATGAGACAGACTCAAATAATGTCCTAATCAGCAACGAAGTCGTCTACAGGCGAGCCAATGGGCGAGTCGGTCGCCGATGGAGGAGAAAATGTAACCGTGCGTGCTGTTATGTCCCTTTCCTGTTGTTAACTCAACGCTTCCCACCCTGAGATGACAAAATCTTAGCCCGAAAGGCAAACCAACAGGGTATATTCCAAATACTCCGTTCAACCCCTAGAAAAGTTACACTAAGGGATCCCGTCAGGGCGTCACCAACCTGGAGTCATGTGCAGCTATGTTAATCGGGAGTTACTATTGTTTGTAAAATTGTTATTCCCTTTCAGAATGTCAGTAGAGGGTTACTGACTGTTACCTCCATTGCGATTGACGATCGACATTCGATTACTATATACATACCCCAAACACACACACACACATACACAACTCACTCATACATACAGGTACACAGAATGATTGGTGTGTGTGGGGGGGGGGGGGGGTGGTCCATCCCTCTCACACAGACACACACACATGTAAACATAGACACCCCTCACACACTCACGCACATATAGTGCATTTGAGAGAGAGAGAGAGAGAGAGAGAGAGAGAGAGAGAGAGAGAGAGAGAGAGAGAGAGAGAGAGAGAGAGAGACAGAGAGAGCACCCGTTTTGTGACGTGCCAAATTCGCCTATATTCTCCTTAAAATACAATAGGTAACATAGGAGACTGATGTGGATGGGACACACACTAAAAACACACACACACATACTCACACACACTGGCGCACGCACACTCGGTCTCACACCTACAAGCACCTCTATCTTTCACACACACACACACACACACACAGACTCAAACATCGTCATGATGGCCATTCCCCACAATAAAGCTGATGTGGTGTCCCACTTCTTTCCACGAGCTAGTTAAAACATTTAGCAAAGACAAAGCTGTATCCCAACTATCCTGACAGCCATGTTGGTTAATTCCCCCCCCCCCCCCCAACCCCCTTCTTGTATTTTATCTTTAAAAAAAAATTACCTTTCAATTTCCATTCAAGCCCCCGTCAAGAAATTATGGCATGTATCGTGAAGGCAGCACAGTCTATATTCAAGGATTCACCTTGTGTGGCTGTTAAAGAAGACGCAACATTGAACGACCAACATTTCCTTCTCAAGGAGCAACTGGAAGCCATCATTGGACAGTACGACGTGTTTTGTGCCCACCGTAAGTCTGGTTTCTTCTCCTTTAAGTGGATGTTTTATCGCAAACAATTGACACTTGTGTGTGTCCAGTGCCAACCATAAGTCTGGTTTCTTCTCCTTCAAGCGGCTGTTTCATCGCAAACATTGGACACTTTGGTGTGTCCAGTGCCAACCATAAGTCTGGTTTCTTCTCCTTCAAGCGGCTGTTTCATCGCAAACATTGGACACTTTGGTGTGTCCAGTGCCAACCATAAGTCTGGTTTCTTCTCCTTCAAGCGGCTGTTTCATCGCAAACATTGGACACTTTGGTGTGTCCAGTGCCAACAGTAAGTCTGGTTTTTTTCTCCTTCAAGCGACTGTTTTATCGCAGACATTGGACATTTTGGTGTGCAGTGCCAACCGTAAGTCCGGTTTCTTCTCCTTCAAGTGGATGTTTTATCGCAGACAATAGACATTTTCGTGTGTCATGTGCCAACCGTAAGTTTGTGTTTCTTCTCATCCAAGTCCCTGGTATGTCGCAGACAATGGACACTTTAGTGCGTCCTGTGCTAACCGTTAGTTTGTGTTTCTTTTAATTCAAGTCTCTGGTATGTCGCGGACAATGGACACTTTGGTGTGTCCTGTGCCAACCGTAAGTTTGTATTTCTTCTCCTTCAAGTCTCTGCTATGCCGTAGACACTAGACACATTGATGTTGCCTGTACCAACCGTGAGTTTGTGTTTCTTCTAATTCAAGTCTCTGCTATGCCATAGACACTAGACACGTTGATGTTGCCTGTACCAACCGTAAGTTTGTATTTCTTCTCCTTTAAGTCTCTGGTATGTCGCAGACATTGGACACTTTCATGTTTCATATGCCCATCGTAAGTTTGTACTTCTTCTACTTCTGATCTCTGGT